TGTCCTTGCACAGTCTGTCATTGTCACTCACCAAGCAGTGCTGTGACTGCTAATCCCTTAGAGCTTTGTCTCCTTTATCAGGGTCAACCTGTGGGAAATCAGAACAACTCATCCCATGTCACCCAGGTATAAAGGGTAATAATGCTCAATATACTTTTATTAATATAATGCATGATAATATGTATAAATCTTTATAGGACATGATTTTGGTGTGATTATTTTGTGTAAACTCTATTAGAAACTCATTTGAAAATAATGTAGCCAATTGTTCTGGAGTCCAATGAGTGTTGGTATATATATAAGAACGAAAGGAAAAAATTAAATGATAAAATAATTATTTATAGTAGGGTTATACATGGTGCCTTTCATTCGTACACTCATTTTTGCTTGTTCATTATTAAAGAGAAATTAAACATATTTTCCCAAACACTTTCTCTTTCCTGACTTGCCTATGAATTGTGCTTCAAAATCTGAGTTGACCATAGTTTTAATTTATTTATTTATTTTTTTATTTTACATGTTGATCCCAGTTCCGTCTCTCTCCCTGCTCCCTCCCTCTCTCCTTCCCTCCCTCCCTCCCTCCCTCTTACCTTCTCTGCCCCCTCAACTAGGAAGATTGAGTCAGGTTAGGAATAGAAGACAGAAGATAAAAAGTGACAGTATGTCAGAGAGAGACAGAGAGACAGAGAGAGAAAGAGAGAGAACATAAAAGAGGAAACCATTATTGTTTTGAAGAGAAAACTGAACCTAAAGAAAGGTCTAGAGACCTACAAGATTGCTGCGAACTAACAATATGAGCAATCATTGTAAGGCTACCTTAAATGCCCTTCCCAGATAGTGAGATCAACAACTAACTTATCCATGGAGCCCTCATCTAATACCAGTTGGAAACAGGAGCAAACACCCATACATAAACACTGAGTCGAAGAAGAACCCAGATGCACATGGAGAGGACAAGACCAGGCAGCAGAAACACATAGAGACAGGTTACATGAATAAGGAGGAGCTAACGGGACCCCAGACTGATAGCTGGGAATACAGCATGGGACTAACTCAGCCCACCTGAATGAGTCTCAGCCAGAAGGACTGAGCAGTCTAAGGGACCTCAGAGAGTGGAGCCAGGATGTATCCCTGCTGCACAAAAGGACCTTGCAGACACATCCCCCATGGAGGGATAACTCCCTTAACCTAGAGACAGGAGATAAGTCCTAGTCCCTTCTTCAAATGACTTGACAGATCTACATGACCCCATCTGGATGGCATTGCCCTACATGTGGAATTTGGATGGAGGGTTGGGACAGGAGAGTGATCAGGGTGCATCCGAGTTGATCATTTTTCTTTTACAGAGTGTATATGGCTACATTATAAATTCCACCTTAAGAACATTTTCCTAAATATAAACTGAAACAAATAGAAATGTGAACTTTCTAAATTCAACATGTTATTTCAGAGTGGAACTGTAATTTTAAATCATGGATAGAGGTAGAAATTGAAAGTAAAATATTATTATGAATTTAAAAATTAAAAAAACTAATGTGACAATAGGTGCACGTCATGGCACATATGGCTGGATCACTTGGTTTCATTATTAACTTCCTTTGTGTCCTGATGTTAACAGTCCATACATCCTTATACCTACAATATCTAACTTGTGTTCCCTCATGGGCTGCCCATTGTTGGGAGCAATATCTTTGGCCAAGTCTATTATAATATTGTTGATTATTCTCAGTTATCAAAAACAGAGAAATATGAATTTTTAGGAGCTCATGAATACTTTCTTTGGATTTTACCATTTTATAATTTTGATTATTATGCTGAGTTATGCATAAGTTGTTTTCTCTTTCAAGATGCATGGGTCGTATCTTTTTATTTTGACTTTCAGGAAAATAAAGTCCTTCTAGAAAAGCTGAATCAGTTTCATTTTATTTCTATTTCCTACAACTAAAATGCTATAATTTTTGTTACTAATTAAAGAATAGCTTTCTCTTGTGGTCTTAAAAGTAATTATGGAAATATCAGTGGGCATATTGTCATGGAAGAAGGAAAACTTTGTGGAGTTCTCCCCTACATGTAGAACTACAGGCATCTAAAGATAACAGGAAAAAAAATAATAGTCTTTCCAGGACAATACCTTTATTGATTGTCAGAGTTGGGGAGACAGCCGTGGAATCATAAACACACACACACACACATAAATTGAACTTAGTAGGCTGTTTGTGTCTGTGTGTGTTTATAGAGATGCATAATAATAATCTGAGAAAAGGAGGGTGTCAACTTGAGAGGTAGAGGCACAGCAAAGGTTTAAAAGAGAGGAGCTGGGCGGTGTGAGAGGGAAAGGAAAGAGGTGAAATGTGATGTAATTCTATTTCAAGTAAATATAATTTAGAGTAATTACTAATTTAAAAAATGTGTGGATGTTTGTTTTATGTACAGGCAATACATACATGTGTGTATTTGTGTGTGTGTGTGTATCTGTGTGTGTGTGTATGTGTGTGTATTTGTTTACAGTATTATAGATATTGTATAGGATGAAAATATTGGAAATTATTTGAGAAATTGTAGGCATGTCTTATTCTGAAATGGCCTCTTTCCATTGCTCATTTGTTCACACCAATGGAGAAGGAGTATGCTATGAATAATGCAAAAATCACTTAGGCCAGACTCGGTTAAATATTGTATATTTTTCATCAGACTTAGTTCTTAATTGTTTGCTCTATTTATTACCTAAATGAGCTATGAGTATTTAACAAATGATGATTGGTGGAGATGGCTAAGAGCCTTAGTAGTGAGGAATTCAATGTCGTGTAAGAAATGTCTTTAGAAAAAAAAAAAAAAAAAAAAAAAAAAAACACTTATATGGAAGTCTGACGGCTCCCATAGTTAGAATTTGACATACTTGGGTGCCACAGAGATGGGAAAATAAGTGTTATCTTTTGCACAGCTATTCAAAAAGAATTTATTACCATTTTTAGTTTTAAAGGTACTATCTCAAAATTACATTTGTTTTGTGTTAAATATATAAAACAAAGTGAGATTATTTGAAGTGTTTAATCCTAATATTCTCTTGACATGATAGCTTTGGAAAATTCACTTGTATGCACTTATATCATATCTGCCTAGAATAAATAAAAATGTCATAGGTAGAGGAATAATGTATATAAAATTCTTGAATATGAAAATGAACTTTTGTATCTGAGTGTGGGAGCAGGTTGGAGACATATCTTTTTTGTGAGTCATTTCTGTATAAAGCTATAAACTTTTTAAAACTAAAAGCTGTCATGTTTTCTAGTAAAATAATAAAGGTATTCATTTTAATTGATTCTTTTCATTGTTTAATAAAATTGCTTTGTTTGATTGCTGAAGATTTGCATTGAGTTTTTATTACCATTTTCTGAACAATTTAGTCTGAGATTCAGACAGTATTGAGCTAATGAGTTTGAATTTATATTGAACCTTAACTGTCTTCATGAAGTAAAGGGAAAAATATCATGGCAGTAACTAAGTAGTCTTCAGTGAAAACTATGTAATAGAGATTTTACAACAAAGCTTTTAGTAGAGCTTAAGCATTAAGATGGAATTTTAACAACTTTGCTGTTTGTATGTTTATGATGGTCTCATCTATTTTAAAATAAACTCATAAGGTAACAGAAAAAAACAAATGGATAATTTCTTATTAAAATGTTTTAGAGAAATGTATTAATGTTGCCAAACTAATTTAAAGACATGATTTATAAATTCCTTCTAAGAAAATCTAACAGAGTATCTCAAGACTTGGATTATTCTAATGTTGTCCTGAATATTGAAGTGTCTGTCCATCATTTGACACTGGTACTAACTAGTGTTTGAAATCCAGTGAGTTACTCATAGGTACACCTTTGGTGTTTGATTTGAATTTGTCATGGTTCCTGAAGTGATGTTTAGTGTCCTATGTTTAATGCCTCACCAAGTTATGTTCTTATGAATGATATTTATATACCTGTGGTTGAGTTAAACTACTCACACTAATTTAATTTTGACCAGATTACCATTTACTGAATATATAACTGCACTGTGCAACATTCATTCTACTTTGGTTCAAAGGTGAATTCATTATAGGACAAAGACAGCTTATCATAGAATTGGTTAGTTCAAACAGGATTAAACCTTACAAGAAGGTAAAATGTTTCAAAAACGTCGATTTGCTGAAATCTTACATCCTGTCTAACAAATAAGTAAACAAAGGAAAAACACATTTCAGGGAAAAATTTCTTACTTCAGCTCGCTTCCCTTCAAGCTGATTTGCTAATTCCCTAATGTTAATCCTCTTCAGATCTCATTTAAAATCAGTGTTTGGATGATTTGGATTAATATTATATCCAAATAACTTATATTCATTCCCACAGGCAGCATTGGTGGTTCTTGGGATAAGGAAACCCTGCACTCTTTCCCCTCCCAGGGATCTCGGGCTCCTGTTACACATGCCCGCATGTCTGCAGCGTATACCCTTCCAGTTAGCCATCCTCTCAACCATCTTCAGCACAGCCACCTTCTACCAAATGGTACGATGGCAATTTTTAGCAATAAAAGTATAGTTTTAAAAATTCTGTTCTTTTTTACTGATTAGCAGGATGATAAAAAAGATATACTGCATTCACACAGTCAACTAATGAAAAGTATAGCATGTCTATAAATCATTACATTGCCCAGAGGAATAATAAAGCCAAGGACATAATATTTGTATTAAACACTTAAACACACAAATACATACACACAAACACACACACACACACACACACACACACACTCACACACACTGATGTGATGAATTATGTCACCAAGCTAGTTAGTTGTAAGCTTAATTTCCCTGTCATGAGTGAATGTTACTGTATAGAAATAAGCATATTGTTTTCCTCTCACTGTCACTATTTGAATATTTTTCAATGGTTTAACTCTTAATGACATGTCATTGATGATTTTAACTGAAACACAGCAGTGATGATCTACGTGTATTCTGTTTTTAGGACTGGAACTTCCTTTTATGATGATGCCCCACCCTCTAATTCCTGTAAGCCTACCTCCAGCATCTGTCACCATGGCAATGAGCCAGATGAACCACCTTAGCACCATTGCAAATATGGCAGCAGCAGCACAAGTTCAGAGTCCTCCATCTAGGGTGGAAACGTCAGTTATTAAGGTAGCGTCTCATCATATTCTTTGTGGACATTGATCTTTTGTTTGTTTGTTTGTTTTGTTTTTAGAGGCAAGATTTCCCTGTATTGCTTTTGAGCCTGTCCTGGAACTAGCTCTGTAGACCAGGCTGGCCTCGAACTCACAAAGATCCACCTGCCTCTGCTTCCCAAATGCTGAAATTAAAGGCGTGCACGGGACATTCATAAATTACCATTCCTTTGTCCATTTGTTTTATCTACATAAGTAAATCTCACTCCTAAAATCTAAAAGGATAGCAAAACCTGAGCACAGTAAGTTGTCACAAGGTATGATATTTAAACCAGGTTGAGAAATTCTAAGTCCTTGCTTTAAAAAAAAAAAAAAAAAAAAAGAACATAAGGGAGTAAGGTATGTGGTTCAACTTATCTGGGCTCTGTCATGCATGAATGTTTGTATGTAGTTTCATCTATGGTGTTATAAGCCATTTAACACCAGACAATAGGGAGTAAAATTCTGCAATTTATTAATTGTATTGCAATGGAAATATAAATAATTTTTTATTGTAGTCAGCATCTACAATATGAGTGATGCAGCATGGGTGCATTATGTAAATAATGTAAAAAATAATAGAATCTTTATAATTTTTATAATATCCTGTAATTAAGGGTAGTGTAATTATTATGTAAATTTTGTAAGTGGGTATCTTATATATTTGTGTTATTCAATCTCTGTTACACATATATATTCATTTAAGTATGTGAATGTATGATACATACATAAATATGTTTCTTACTATTTTACAACATATTTAGATTGAGGTTATCGGATTGGGTGAGCAATAGAAATAACAAAAAATGTTTTAAAAATAGATCAAATTTTAAAGTAAGTAAAGGATAATTATTGCTACATGGTCTTCTTCCTTTAATATAATGATTACCTTTATTTTTTCTACACACAATGCTTGAATCCTGGGCATTAACTTATTAACTTATTAACTAATAAGTATGTCCTTGGTAAACAATCTTTGTAGTACTGGGGTAAATTGGCATGCATCTGTAACTCCAGTGTGGTAGAAACTGAGACAGAAGACTCACAAGCTAGTGGCTAGCATGGACTAAGACTGAGTGCAGCTTCATCTTAAAAATTAAAACGTAGCTAAGGTAATATTGGAAGAATTTTAAAACAAATTTACTTAGTTAAAAACAAGTAATTTTTGTTTCCTTTGTGCTGTTACTGTGAACAATAAGGTGAGTCTCATGTCATTTTCAAAGTATAATTACCAGATAAAGAGAGGAATAAAATCACATTGCAAACACCAAGATCAACTCCTGAAATCCAATCTCTGGAAGGAAGCCAGTGAGGTCACATTTTCCTCAGAGAAGCAACTTGGAAGACAATTTCTAAAATTCTGTTTTCACCTATAATGGCTCTAGAGGACCCTGAGTTATAAGACTCAAGGGATTTTTCTGTTATTATACTTAGTGTATTGGAAAAATTTTAGTATTAAGACTGTGACATGTATAATTTCATTGAAGTGACCCTTTAAATGCCAAAGAAAATTCTTCCATAAATTCTTATCATTATGGAGGATGCTATTTTAACATATATATATATATATATTTTACATAATACATATATATATATAATTTTTCATTATTTTACATGTTGATCCCAGTTCCCTCTCCCTCATTCCCTCCCATGCCCCTCGGTCCCCCCTCCCAGACACACACCCCACTCTACAGGGAGAGATAATTCAGCCATTAAAGGCTAGTCTCACAACCAAAAATATTTTACCATTTTTAAAAGTACTAGAGAGATGTCTTAATGTTAAGAGCATGTGCTACTCTTGCAGAAGACCCAAGTTTAGTTTCTAGCACCCACATTAGGCAGCTTAAAATTGCCTGTAATTCCATCTCCTTGAGACCTGACACCTTCTTCTCGACACTTGCCACACCTGCACTTGCATGTATACTGACAGACACACATTTACATGTACACATAATTGATTACAAAATGTCATTATACAAAGATTCTATTATTCGTGTTTCAAAACTATATCACATAGAAGCAATAAATATGTTTATATAACTTTTAAATCTGAGTATCCTATAACTTCTTAGCTAGATAAGACATCAATAAAAAGTCTACAGCACAGACTTTTTGTTTAAAAATATATTTATAAATTAGGAAATTATGCCTTATATATTTTGAATCCAAAAGCACAGAGGGATATCAGGAGACTTGGCTGACTGATATTTCCTATATACACACAGTTGTATGTTCAGCACATCATGTTAATTAACATAATACAATCTGGAAGCAGCTTTTAATAACTCTATATTTAAGTTGAGGTAAGCAGCAGGAAGAAGCTATTTTTCTTCTGGAAGTGTCTTTGGGTATCAACTTATAACTACATTGTTTGGGATTCAGAAATATTTATGTTATTTCTTGGACTAAGTTACAGAATTCAGAGGAAGGGGATCTAGGAAGGAAGGAAATGTCCAAAGTGGGAATAATACAGTAAAGGAGCTTTATGTCTTCAAAAGCATGCCAACACCTACTAAGTCATACTGATCTTCCACTTCTTAGTCTTTTGGGACAAATATTTTCAGAAATTTGGCAGCAGATAGAGTTGAGGAAGTTCTGGATCATGGTATAAATCTCGATGGTAACAAGGACATGAGAAACATTGCTGTAGTTGAGATTAATTACAGAGAGCACACTGTTCCCACTGCACTATCAAAGGGAAGAGCCACTAGCTTGCAGAACTCGCTAGAAAGTCCATCTGCATAGGGCTCCTCTCTTATCAGACAGCATTTACTTTGCATTTGAAACTGTGACATGCTAAGTGACACAGCCAGGTTCTAAGATAATAACTGAGGCATCTGAGTTTGATATTAGTACACTCCACAGCTTAAATCTTGTTTTGTAAACTTGCTTTGTTTATGCTAATTAAATGTAGTTTAGGGGAGTTGTATTTTTCCCTAAGAAAATGGCTTACTGAGATGTCACATTGAACATAATCGGCCCCTATGGGTAATTAGAGTAGTGTCTGTGAGTTGATTTGTTTGACAAGATTCTAAATGTGAAGGCCAGTGGAAAGTATAATGCTGAATACCAAAGCCTCACATCAAAAGAAAGAGCTTCTGAAGAGAAAAATAGAACCGTGAAGGGTTGTCTACAGGCTGAATAAATTGCTCATATTTTATAAGTGATGGTAGGGAATAAGATTAAGCAAAACTAACAGAGAATAGAAATAAAACTATGTTGCTTAAAATAAAAGTGAAAAATATTCTAATTAAGGAAATGTTATAAAATATTCTCTTCTTACTTAGTTTTGTAAAATAAAATGCCCCAATACTTTTTTCCCATGGCAACCCCCACTACTACTATCAAATTGGACCTAGGTCTCAACCTGAGAGTTGCTGTCTCTGGGAAGAGTCTATCTCTTGTTATTACTAATATGGACCTTTAATAGAAATGCGTTTTCATTTGCAATTGATTAAAAATAAAAGAATACTGTTGTATCATAGATGAAATTTAAAAATTAAATAAACTGAATTTTTAACTTCTATTCATAAAGATCTTAGCGGGAAGACATACCCACGTTTTAAAATTTTGAATAATGTCTGTGATTGAGCTTTCATGTACAAAGTCAATATTAGGTAAAACTTTATATTAGTGGCTGAGAATGTCACAGTTCAACTGACAGATTGCTTGCATAGCATGACAGGAGTGACTTGCCTTGCAGAAAACACACACAAACACACACACACACACACACACACACACAGTGCTATCTGACTCTTAATGAAAGCAAATAGTTGATCTCTACATTAGAAGTTTGATGACTTAATTTCTTTTGAATCTTACCTTCTTGTGAATAATTGTGGTAGCTCAAAAATAAAATAAACTCAAACATTGTAGAAATAGAGGTAAAGCTAAAAACCATTGAGGGTTCAGAATTAGAAAAATTGCATGCCAAGGGAAACATATCTAGATGACAACTCAGTACCAATGATACTGTTTTTATAAGTGCAACATTTAATAAGACTCAGATGGTAGCTAGTTTGGAAGACTAGAATGGTTTTGTAAGGCATATTTAAACAAAAATGGGCAAACAGTGTTTAGACAATTGATTAACTGCTTATACCATAAATGCATAAGACTTTAGATTTATAAAGATATATCAAATTATTATAAACTGTGTACGAGTTTATTATGTCAATGACATCAGTGTATTTTTACTGTTTACAATTCACAAAATGTAAGGTAACAATAAGTTGAGGTTGTGATGGTGTTTTAGTTACCTTTCTCATTGTTGTGATAAAAACACCCTACCATAACCATGTTAGAAAGGAAAGGGCTTCAATTGGCACACAGTTCAAGGGTAAGTTTGGCTGTGATTGAGAGGTCATGGCAGAGAAACTGAGGGATGTTGGTTGGATTGTCTCCACAGAAAGCTGGTATGAAGACTACTGCTTAATTTGTTTCTCTTTATTCAGACCAGAGTCCAATCCCAGGCAACGGAACTGCTCCTAATCAGGATAGGTCTGCACTTCTGTTAAACCATTCTAAACATTTCCTCAAATACATTTCCAGGGGTTTGTTTCCATGGTGATTCTACATCCCTTCAAGTTTATCATCAAGGTTAACCAATACATATATCATGCAACCCAGTTTCCTCTGTGGTTGAGAAACAGTTTCCCACAGCTTCCCCACCTACACACAAGACACACACTCTCTCTCTCTCTCTCTCTCTCTCTCTCTCTCTCTCTCTCTCTCTCTCTCTCTCTCTCTCTGAACTGAATAGTGCTTAACTTCAGAAAAAAAAAACATTGAATAATGTATTGCTCAAATTCATCTGTGAATCAAAATGAAAGTTGTATCTCAACATTCATTCAAAACTGCTGGACAAAGCAGCCTTACAGACTACAGCCATGATTTCTGCATCTTCTTAGAATCCTCCATAACAGCACCCCTTACCAGCAGGAAGTAGTTTGGAAAGAACGACGCCCAAATCCC